AGAAATACCGAGGAATTTGGCTTCAAGTTCATATAATGACAGACGGCGGAACCAAGTTGTCCATGGTATATACAGTCTACGGTTATACTCTATCGGTTGGTTGTTTGTCTTTATAGTCGTGCAGTGGTCTACAAATACTGACATGTTAATGATGGTTAAGCAGCTTTTCTTCTTGAAGCCAGGTGAGCGCCAGCTTATTTAATATCATCACTGAAGAAACAACAACCACACCAACTGGAATATGTAGCTTTAATGATGAGGCATCAAACTGGAGACTTTCTATGCATACGAAAAAAGGAGGTAATACATTGGAAAAAAAAACAACAACAAAAAACAAACAAACAAAATGAAGTAAAAAATAGCCAAAAAAACATCCCAAAGCACCTTCTGGTGAGAAGACACTGCAAAGACTTAGTGTGGGGATATATTCCGATCATTCTTCCTGTCATTGAAACTGAGATCAAAAGTCTGACTGAAAAACTCATCCAATGATCAGAAAATGCAGAGTCACAGAGTCTGCCAAGTCGGTTGGTTGAGTCTGACTAACACTAGCAGAAACATCAGCTGAAGCTGCTCCCATGCAGGGACCCAGGGTCAGGTAAGAAAGGCAGAGATGGAGGGGGGATTTTCCATAACCAGTATAGGCTGGGGCAGAACAGTAGTGACCAACAGAACACAATCACTGGTATGAGCAGCTGGCATGAGTTTCCACTCCTCCACATTAAAAAAAGTCAGATGAGGTGGTTTGTGCATCTAATCAGGATGTCTCCTGGATGCCTTGCTGATGAGGTGTTCAGTGCACGTCCCACAAGTAGGAGACCACAGGGAAGACCCAGGACACACTGGAGAGACTATGGGCTCTATTTTCGTGTCCGTCGGGGACGAATGCTATAATATTCAGTTTTGTGAGCCAAATTTATTTTATATGCCAACATCTATGAAAGATAGAGCCAGGCCACGGAGCGTGATGCGTCATTTACGCACAGATGGTTCAGATTTTAATGCCATTTTTGGAGTTTATGTTGTGATCTGTGTGCACAACCCACCTTTGTCGCATGAGGTTTGAATATGTGCAACTTTTTGGGAGTGTCTTTATTTGTGGAAAAGGATGTTTGTCTTACTAGTTGGTCCAACATTACACACACCAAATCCATCTGTGCTTATATGAGACAGTGTGCAGGATGCCCGCTGCAGCGCTTACAGTGACACTTCTTTAGAGGCTGCCTTCTGTCGCCAGGCATTGCTGTCTTGAGACATCTCTTGATCTCTTTGACTACTTCACGAAAATTGTAATACGCCTCGCCGGTGGCGGATTTAAAGCCAAGGACCAATATGTTATTGGTCAATACAGGTCTCGGCTGTGTTAAACCCACTCTATGCCCTCTCTTCTCCCTCGCTACGACTTACGCCGCTGGGAGGAGCTGAGTTAGGGAGGGGGGATACTTACACCGGGCTGCGCCGCTCACCAAAATACCAAATTGTGCTTGGGAACGCCTTGTCGGCGCGGCAGACCTGAATTACGCAGCCCCTGCGCCACGTCTCTGGCGAAGCACGAAAATAGAGCTCTAGGTCTCTCAGCTGACCTGGGAATGCCTCGGGGTCCCTCGGGAAGGGCTGGACAAAGTGGCTGGGGAGAGGAAAGTCTGGGCTTCCTTGCTTAGGCTGCTGCCCTGCAACCCCAACTCCAGATATGCAGAAGATAGATGGATGAATTGATGGATGTATGGATAGAAAAACGGACAGTCAGGTGGGCGGGCGGACAGACCGGTGCACGTTACTCATCGATCTGCTCAGGTGGATCTAGTCCACTTAATCCAAACACAGTCTCCATCCAATGTTTTCTGAATATTTAAATACACTGTTGCCCACAAAGTTGGAATAATTTTGTTTCCAAACACAATCCTCTGTTTATTCCTAATTAAATGCATCAGTAATCACTTTTGACCAGCTGTAATGATTACATTACGTGTCCCACTTACCCAGGTGAAATCAATACTTGCATAACATTTGTTTGGCACTATAAAAGACGAGACATTTGCTGTGTTGTCCGTTTCCTGCTTAAAGCCTGTATGCAAAAGGGCCACAATTTCAGAATTGTCTGAAATAATTTTAAACTAAATTTGACATAGAGCTTCCCTATGCTATGCCTCGTTCGCCACCACTGGCAATATGCCAAAGAGTGTTTGCACTCTGAAGCCGCGTTCAGACCAAACGCGACCAGGTCGCGTCGCGTCGCGTCGGTCGGTCAGGTCGCGTCGCGTGGTGCTCTGGTGTGTTCACACCGGGTCCAAAGTTGCAGTCGCAGGTCGCGGCTGGTCGCCGGTGACGTCATCCATGTCACTAGCTCAGTTTTCAGTTCATCAGTGCTGCCGCATATCTGTACATCCGCAGTAGACGCCGCCGGCGTTTATGGGTGCATGAAACCATCCAGAGGAGGACGGAGCTGGGTGAATTTCACCGCTTGCTCCAGGAACTCCGCCTGGACGACGGCCGCATCCAGCGGTATTTCCGTGTGTCGACGGCGCAGTTCGAGGACCTCCTTGCCCAGGTGGGAAGCAGCATCTCCCGCCTGGACACGAAATACAGGCGCTCCATCTCAGCTTCGGAGCGCCTGTCTATCTGTCTGTCCCTCATATAAACGTCTCTAAGCCCCTTCCACCGCTTGTGGCACACATCCACTGCAAAGACACACACACACACATACGTTGAAACATGTAGCCTAGCAAGCAGGGGCAGTTAACTGGGTGGTAGCTAACGGATGTGATTAACTGCTCCTCCATTGTGATTCTTCTTCTCCTCTTCCTTGTTTCGCCGGTTTGTTGACGTCAGCAGAGCCCTGATTGGCTGTCGCGGCACGGAGTCGCTCCCAAAGTTCAAATATTTGAACTTTGGGAGCGACGCGACTTGGCGTCCTGCGACCTCGGCGACGCGACCTCGGGGACGCGCCTTGGCGACCGGTCGCGCCCGGTCGCCCGGTCGCGCATGGTCGCGTCGCAGGAAGCCGGCGGTCGCCAAGTCGCGTCAGGTCGCGGCTGGCCATAGACTTTGCATTGGGAGCCGTCGCCAAGTCGCGTCAGGTCGCGTTTGGTCTGAACGCGGCTTGACAGGATGGACACAAACAGCCTGATATTGCTGATTTGCTTGGAATATCCCAGAGTGCGGTCGCTAAAATCCTTAGAGTTCATCCAGAGGAGGGTCATTTGAGGCCAGGAAAATCTCCAGGACGACCACGACTGACAACCAGAAGAGATGATCGGCAACTGCTTAATCTGTGCCGTAGAAACCAATGGGTTTGGCGATTATGTGGTGAAAACCTTCACGATATATGTATCCAGGAAACCACTCAGGCTGGTGGCGGCTCAGTGATGGTATGGGCCGGTATTCATTATGGAGGAAAGACACCATTGGTGGTGCTGGATGGAAACGTCAATGCTGTTGTGTACAGGGACATCCTGGAGAACCATTGCCTCCTGCATGCAAGCCGGGTCTATGGGAACAACTTTCGTTTGCAAGACAACAACGCTAGAGCACATAGGGCAGCTGCAGTGAGAGAATATCTTGATGCAGAGGGGGTGCAGCAGATGCCATGTCCGGCTTGCTCCCCTGATATGAACCCTATTGAGCATGCCTGGGACGACTTGGGCCGAGCCATCAATGAGAGGTACAATATTCCTCAAACTCTACAGGAGTTGGCGCAGGCTCTGACTGAAGAGTGGGACGCCCTGCCCACTAACAACATCAACAGGCTTGTGGACAGTATGCTACTATGTCTTAATGCACTGATCCGTGTCAGGGGTGGCCACATTCGATATTAGTGACTATGTGACATTTGAAAGAGTAATACTGGACATTTATATGCATGAAATCTCCTCGAATATGTATTTCCTATCAAACTGACCAAAGGCGAATGTAAAGAAAGATTTAATCCTTTTGTTTCAATACCCGTAATTTTGATTAAGCCTGACTACAGTTTGTAAAGGTTAATTCATTTAATTTTCATTGTGATATGTTTAGAAGAGATTGATTAATAAAGTTTTGAGAAGATATACGCTTTCATCTCATGGAAAGAGGTAAAAAATATTTCATTCCAACTTTATGAGCAAAAGTATATGTATATATACATATATATATATTCGAAATACTTCCAAACTATTTCCATGTTTCCTCTGCATCCAGGTGGGAAAGCATTGTGGTGTCACAGCAGTATTACCTGACGCTACAGCCTTGTCTGGTGAAGGGTGGCAAGAGTTTAAGGCCAGCATTCATATTTAGTATTTCAAGTATGAATAATCTACTTCAATAATGAAAAGTTTAGGGTCTGACCAGCAGGAATAACAACATTTCATCAAGAAGTCGACCCGGCAAATCCTTAAAGTAGACCTTCTTCAAACTCTGTCCCCTGACTTTGCAGGTGCAACAACTGAACATTTCCAGTAATGACACCTCAGCTTTAGCTTCAGCATCATATTTTGCAGAAATGGGCCGCTGTCTAATCTGCTGTGCTATTTCACAATCTGGATGTGAGAGCAGGCTCCAGACAAGCATCACTTCAGACATCTGACCTGAAGTAACGTATCAACAACTGAGAGAAATGTATGTGAAAGCAGGGCGGCTGTCACCTTGCTGTCTTATTCTGTGAGGAAATGTCAGAAGAAGAAGGATAGCATGTGTGTAATTGTTTCCACGCATTGCTTGTTGTAGTGTTTGTTTCTCTGTGTCATCCAGTCAAGTGGGAACAGATTGCAGGTGTTGAGAACACACCTGAGACCAGTAAGCACAAATCTGTTTTCAGCTGTGCCACCAGGCAACCTGACCTTCAGGGAAAAGTGAGCTAACATAGTTTGGCAGAGGCTGGAGGGTCCATCCATCTTTCTGCTGAGAATCATATTATAACGGACACAAGCATTGCCTCACTGGGTAAATTGCCAATTTATGGGTAAGTAATTAATTTTTAGGTTGAGAAGATGATAATTACCACCCAAGCTTGAAAGTGATACGTACTGTATGTTGGAGGTGATCGTTAAAGCAGCCTGAGGGAAACCTGGTTTAGTTGTAGCATTTTAAAAAAAAAGAAAAACATTGTGTCTAGCTAACACTGTGTTTTCTTTAAAGTATGCTGGACTCAAGATTCACTTTTAAACCTTAAGAGGGAGCGTTCGGGGTTTGAGAAAAGCTACTTAATGAGGGTTTATCAGTTGGGAATCATATTCAAGTTCATTAATAGTGATGGGAATTACAGGTCTTTTTAGTGAGCCAGATCATCCGGCTCAGCTCAAAAAGAGGAGCTAGCTCTTTCAGCCCCCAAACAGCTCTTCATTTTTCTATTTATAAATTTTTCTAATTCAACCAAATGTAGCGTTGTTTTGCTTATGATATGTACATATGTATACATATACCTCTTAAATAATTCAATACATCCTTTGTACTGAAGTATTCACAAGTCAAAAACACATTTTCTAATATCAGTAAATTGCTGTAGCCAGTTGTTTTCATTGCATTTACAGACCCTTGTAACTCTCTGAAACCACCCAATGAATAATAATAAATAATAATAATAATGCATCAACTTAAGCATAGAATTTAAAAAGGACAGCTATTGAGATTTTCAATGTTTATTTAAACACAAATATTCAAATATATATATATATATATATATATATATATATATATATATATATATATATACATAAAGCTGTATTGCAATGAAGAAAACAGCAGCATTTAACAGTTTTAGGTGTATTTGAACTGAACACCATCAGGAACATAAACCAAACAGCAAATACAAAGAGAGACAGAGAGAGAGAGAAAAAAAAAAAAGGCTCACAGACAGGAGCCAGCTCCCATCGTTCACAATAAAGAGAAGACTCTTTGAACTGGTTCGTTCGCAACCGACACATCACTACTGAGTAAGACTGAATCACTTTAACTGTCTAGTTCAGAAAGTCACACCTGGATCTAAAGAAAGCCTGATTCAGTGTATGGATACCCCCATGTTAATGTCAGTTTTTTCAGTCTTTCATAGCTTTTAATGTCCTCTACAGAAATGATGAGTGACCAGGACAGATGCTCACAAATCTCTTACGTATTACACTAAACTGTTTGAAATTAAACACAACATACAGTGTGACTCATTTCTGTCACAAACTATCAAATACAAAGATGATGAAGTAGTCCTCTGTTGTTTTAACCTCATCGAGATTTTGACCAATAGGTGATCAAGAAAGAGAGAGGTAGAGATTTATTATTTAAGTGTTTCAGATGTCAGAGTTTCCAGGCAGCTCCAGGAGGAGTGTTACATCCTGCAGCTCTTAGACGCAAAAAACGCTGCCTACCTGAGAATGCACAGCAGGGTCTGTCAGTATGATAAACGAGGCTCTGTGAGCAACAGCTGCGCACTGAGATTGACTGATAAATGTGCAGACTAATCAGCACTGAGACTGACTCCTGGTGCATTAGGGATGTTACTCTGAAGGGTAGAACAGCAACAGCCTTGACAACAACACTGTATTTACAAGTAGATCAGTGTTGCTGGCATGGTCCATTGTTTCAATGGGGTTGTTGTATAGATATGTGTCAGGACTCAGACTCTGAGCTCAAAATACAGACATCTGGTCACCCTTTTCTGGAGCTTCAGTGACATACTCCGTGAAGAAGTGTTCAGTGTGTCAGGGGAATTTGGGAGTGTGTCAGTCTGGCTGAATATATTCCCACTATATTCCCAAAATATTCCTGTTTCTACACACCGTAGCTTTAAAGATGATTTACAGTGTTTGGCTGATGCAAAACCACTATCTATCTTAACTGACCTCTAGGCAGACTTAAAGTTATATCACATATTTTATTTTGCTGCATCATCCCAGGGTTTATTTTCCCTTTATTCTCCCCTTGTTTACTTCCCTTTTTACTTGTTTGATCCGTTATAGTGATCTAGTTTTCATAGCTTTTTAACTCTACTGTTTTGTTTGGATCTTATTTCATTATTCCTTGCCCACCCCATAACATTAGACTGATGATAAATTTGGGGATTTAATCTGATGGGCTGTTCCAACATCAAGGGGACCACAGCTGGCAGATCAGTTTGTGTTTTTACCCACAACTTTTTAACGCCTGGTGGTGGCCTTGGAACCCACTGGGTGAACCAGCCCATCTGGCATTTAACAGGATTGTCAGATTGCCAGTCTGGGCCTGCCAAGTGCTGATAAGATCATCAACAAAAAATTGTGTTTCCAGCAGTGCTGAAGCTTAGACGCTGCACCCCATGGCTGGAGGAATTCAGCCAGCATGAGACGGTGATCAGAGAAATTCAGGATACCAACCGGGAGACTGTCTGTTGTGAAACATGGCTTTACTGTTTGAACACATCAGATCTAAAATGCTGTAATACCCAGGAGTGACAGACCAAGGCTGTCTGACGGGCAAGGACAAACAAATACAAACAGAGCCACAGCTGCATGTGATGAAGCTCCAGTGCACAGAGAGTTCACACACATGTGGAGCAGCACAGACCACTGAAGGGACACTTCATCTGTGTTTGTCTGTTCTGAAGACAGTTGAATCATGTCCTTGGTCATGAGGACACATGCGCAGCACTTCATTCAGCCTCTTACAGGGTCTGACGTCATGGACCCCATCGGCCAGAAGATGACAGAAATAGTCCCAGCATCAGACAAATGAAAACAATACAAGTGAATGCAGACTGTGGACCTCTGCAGAAACAGACACAACTACATCCAATTGACCATCAGTGATCATTAGCTAGGGTTACAGGGGCAGTAATGTTACAATGCATTCAAATCACTCTGATTGGACAATCATTGTTTACATGGATGTATCAGACATTACATAACAGAAATCAGTATCCATTAACGTTTCGTGAAAGACAGACTCAATAATTTGCTTTTTTCCCCTCTCTTTTAAGTTTGATTTTATTCCACCAAGGCTTGTCACAATACCAGGATTTTAATTTTAATACAGGCCTGTATTTTCTAATCTCTCGCTAATGTTGTCATTTAGAGGGGGTTAATCACTGCGCACAATCATGGAGCATCTTGTAAGGCAGCAGGTGGAAACTTATAGAAAACACACAGAAACCAGATGACATTGTCTCTCTCCTCTGATCTTTGTTTGCAACATACAAGATAAAGTGTGTTTTTATTAGATGCATAAGAACTGCACAAAGAGTCAAAATTCACTGTTGTGTAAGTGGAGAGATTTGGCGGTAATGTTGATGATGTACAATGCAGCAGACACGCATGTAAACAGATTATTGTTTGTGTGGAGGACTGGACATGTTTTGAAGTCTTTTAGTGTGTAAATGATGGGAACGACGCAAACATACGACGCAAAATTACAAAATATTCAGAGGCAAATTTTGATGCGCCTGGCTATACACATCAAGCGTAATGTGATTTTGTGACTCTCTGGGGGGAAAAAAGACGCGTCCCGGGTGGAAGCGGGAAGACTGACACAACACAAGACTGACAGTTTTTCAGTTCTGATAAGACACTAGTGTTGAGATGGCTGTCTGTCATGATAGCATGTACTGAGTAGGGGCCAGTACCATATAAGAACATTAAACTATAATCCATAAACATAAGGGACTCTATTTCCGTGCCTCACCGGAGACGTGCCACAGGCGCAGCTTAAGTCAGGTCCGCTGCGCCGACAAGGCGTTCCCAAGCAAAATTTGGTATCTTGGTGAGCAGTGCAGCCCGGCGTAAGTATCCCCCCTCCCTAACTCAGCTCCTTCCAGCAGCGTAAGTCATAGGGAGGGAGGAGAGAGAGCGTGGAGTGGGTTTAACACAGCCAAGACCTGTATTGACCAGTAACATCAGCTCCTCTCCTCGCCTTTAAATCCGACACTGGCGAGGCATATTACAATTTTCGTGAAGTAATCAAAGAGATCAAGAGATGTCTGAAGACAGTAATGCCACACGATGGCGACAGAAGGCAGCCCCTCAACAAGTGTCGCTGTAAGCGCTGCAGCGGGCGTCCTGCATTCTGTCTCATATTAGCACAGATGGATTTGGTGTGTGTAAGTTTGGACCCACTAGTAAGACAAACACCCTTTTCCACAAATAAAGACGCTCCCAAAAAGTTGCACATATTCAAACCTCACATGACAAAGATGGCTTGTGGGCACAGATCACAACATAAATTCCAATAATGGCATTAAAATCTGAACCATCTGTGCGTAAATGACGATCGCGCTCCGTGGCCTGGCTCTTTCTTTCATAGATGTTTGCATATAAAATAAATTTGGCTCACAAAACTGAATATTATAATATTCGTATGTAGGCTTAATGTAAATAACTCATCTGATCACTGAAACAAATCATCTGTTCAGCCGCTGCAGCAGCAGGACGGGGAGAGGACACAGAGACATGTCCAGGTCAAGCTGCGCGAGAAATAAGAGGAAGAGGAAGAAAGAAAAGGAGGGAGACGATTTACATATCTTGTTAACTTCAACATGTGTGTCTAAGATATTTAATTTAATTTGATGCGGTTTCAGCTGTGTTGATTCGGTCAGGTTGTGTGTCCAAATGCGTGCCAAACGCTCTCATCAGATCAGATATAGATCAGAATATATCAATATAGGTCTAAATGTATGTGCCGAGTCAGATTATTAGTTGTTGATGATTATTTTTTCACTGAAATGTGCCTGACACTGTGGACACCTGCCGGTGAGGCATCGGTGACGTATGCGGATATGCTGCCAGTCTACCAAAATACCACCAGCTCAGCTGCGCTCTTCCTGTGCTGAAAGCTGACCAGGTTTGAATCGGCAAGCTTTCAGCGCACTTTATATGCCACCGGCAAGCACAAAAAAATGTCACTACGCCAGCTGATTCTGTCAACACCTCCCTCTGCCACGCCACCATGCCCAGCTTGGCGGATCTCGGTGCGCCTCAGTCCACAAAAATACCAAACTGGCTGTACGCCGGGCTCCGCCAGACGAAAATACCACTGCGCGGGGTCCACCACCCTCCGCCGCCTCACCAGCGTATACGAAAATAGAGCCCAAGGTAACAACCGAGACCTAATGGTGCTGTGACAGCAGCACAATTTAGTTTGAGACAGTGAAAATACATATGGTATTTTGTATCTGAACAGGTTAGCTTACGAGCTAAAGTTACTTAGCACATATGAAAGTTAAAACAAAGATGTTTAGCAAACTGTTAAAGCACACAAACCATCGTCATATGAGAGATCCGATGCTATGACTCTTCACAAGTTGTCCTTCAGGTTGTTATCTTTGTAATGTTTGTGTCTTTTATCAAAAAAGCACTCTGTTCTTCGACACATAAACAATCAGCCGGTTGGGCATGTTGGATATACCGGTGAATCTGACGTCGAAATACGAAACACAAATGCCGCAATATCGTAGGATGGGAAAAACGTTGCTGATGTGAACACTTGTATTGACAGGATACGGGTTCGAAAAAAAACATTGATGTCCAAAGTAATCGCACGAAAAAAACGTTCCCGGTGTGAAAGGACCTTAAGTCTTGAACATCTTTAATTCTGTGACAAAGACAACTCTTTGCTCACACAGTCTGATGAGATAGGAGTTGCTCAGTGAGTTTTTTCTAGTCAAATGACTTAAGAGGTTTAA